ACTTTATGTAATACTAAGTTTTGTGAAGACTCTTTAATGGTTATACCTAATTGGCCATCTATCTAGTCTTTCTACAGTTTAAGAAACTGAGTCCGTAAGAAATCTAAGGACAAACTCAAGGTCACTGGTTGGCTTCAAGGCACAACTGAGGATTCAGACCTCTAATTCCCAGTGTGATTCTCTTATGTGTTTAACTAGATGGAGTTCATTTTGACTTTCTAAAAGTCAAGGGTCATGTTATGAATCCAATCACATTACATATTCAAAACAGAGAAAAACTAAGCGACCTCTTTTTGAATGCTAAATGTGCCCATGCAAGGAAATTACTCAGTCATTGCAGCCAAAGGAAAGTCTTTTCTTCCATACTTTTTGATGGCAGTTCATTACATTTTACCTCCAGGCTACTTGCTTTCTTTTAGCAAGATCCATTACATATAGTACTTTCATAGTATGTTGGTGGAAAATAGGCAAAAGTATTGCATTTAGATATTTCTCTTAAGGGTTGAAACATGGTTTGCACACATACTCATTCATTCACAAACACCCGCCTAGGAGAACGTAGTCCTGGGGCGGAGAGGCGGGGGGAAGCTTGAAGGTATATATTTTAACCGATCTGGAACCTGAACCTTGTGCTAGTGAAAATGTACAGGACACACTGGTAACCCATAGCAACCTCATTCTTCAAAGTAGCTGTTGATGTCAAAAAACTAGGGCACCAAAGTCTAATAATTACAACTCCAAAGACAAATGAAGCCACAGCTAGCAAATGTCACTTACTGATCATGATGTCACTGCAAGGTATGCACTTGTTGTGATGAAACATATATAACGTAAGGGGATACAGGGGCTTCTGCCTGTATCACATTCTATCTTCCAAATCAAGATTAACAAAGAAAAGCTAAAGTAGCCTTAGTGACACGAAAAGCTTCAATTTAATTAAAGATGATTATAGTGCAAGAAAAATTAATCCTCATTTCTCCCATCTTTTCCTCCAGAAAAATGTTATTTTCTACAAACTAAATATAATCTTTGAAAAATTAAAAAAAAAATAGTTCCAAAAGGGCATTTCATTAAATTATGGGTGCTACAAAATGGATTTCTTATTTAACCTGATAGAAGGCGATACATTGTGTTGCATTAGAACTCTTTCAAATCCCTCTGATCTTGTAGAGCTTTTAAAGCTAGTGAGCACAAGATTTCCTCTAATTTAATATTTCTAGAAACGTTTTGAATGTAATGTTTGAACAATAATGAAAAGAAACACAAGAGTGTTTTTTAATAGCTTAAATGATGTTAAGAGAGGACTCTAAACTGCACCTCTGACCATTTTCAGAATCTGGAGAGAACACAAATAGACACTAAAACTTAAATATAAAACACCAAGAAAAAAACAAAAAACAAAAAAACAAAGTTGGTTGAACCTACGCCTCCCAACTCAGTTTGTTGCAAAATCAATGATGACCACACAGTTTTTATAATCTGGGAAGTGCTGTTTGATTTCTGTTCTTGCTTTTGTTTTCTCTCAAAGCTTAATTGGAGCCAAAGGTTACTTTGGGGGAGAAAACGGTCAAAGAGTAACTAAAATAGAGACTGAGGAATTTAAGGATACTTTATCAGGTTTGTATTACTTTAGTTTTTTTAAAAGAATATTTCAAGTAAACTGAATTTGAAACATTTAATATAGACTCTCAATAAAGACAGATATTCCATAATATCAACTCTTTCTGTTTCTTTATCCTTGTTGCTGAGAGGTAATAAAATCTTTTGTATAATTAATGGTTTAGTAACCTAATACCATTATAGTACCTAATCATAAAATATTAATAGTTTCTCTCCCCCAAGCCCCATTTTTTTCTGGCTCATAAATTTGGTACTAACAACAAACAGGCTCTATTCATTAATACTCATCCGAATAACTGCATCTGGTCAGTTTATTTAAAGGGGGCACAATTAGCATACATCCAAAGACAATTTAGAAAGTTAAATTTGAAAGTAGGTATTTACGTTCTTTCAAGAAATATTAAACACAAGCCACTCGACAAAAGCATGGAAGTTGGCTGATGTTTTCTCTACACCTAAGACGAAAAGCTACATCCTGTCCATGGATTTTGATCAATCGCCCAGATACCTGGTTTACATGAGGCCGAAGTTTAAAACACCGAAGAGCTTTCAAGTATTTCACAGTATGGCTGCTTTGGTGCAGCATAACCAGACCCCATTCAGGCACTTTGAACTCGTCGACATCCAAACACCCTGAAGACCTCACATCTCTTCCTTAGGTTTTGACCAGTGATTTAATTAAAACCCCAATGAGCCAGGATCCAGACAACCTGAGCCTTCATGCACCGGTATGTGAAAGAAAACGACAGATGGAGGGAGGTCAGGAAGGCGACTGAGAAGAGGCTCTCTCTCCACAATGGGGCTTATTTTTTCCAAGAGGGAGATTTGTTGAGAGGGGCTCAGATACAAACATAGAAGGATGTATAGTTTGAATGAAAGCCTTTCAGGTGAACTGGTATCTCCATCTCCCACCGATTGCTTTCATGTTGGAAAAAAACAAAAAATATAAACACTCTGGGCTTGAGAGAGCAAAAATAAAGATCGCTATGTCACTTCGAATGGTTATACACGCTGGTTTCAGGTTCAATCCAAGCCAAGAACAGTAAAACCCATCTGGAGAAGCACTCTAAGTTAACTTCACGTTATACCTAACTTATTTATCTGTCGTTTCCCACCAACTTCTGAAGCTTTCTGCTTTCAAGCTACAGAAATCTCATCCAAATGCTTCACCCTGTTTATTCCACCCATTGTGACATCCAGAGGCAATTCGAGGTCTGTATTCTTATTTTATTATTATTATTTTTGTTATGCTAATACTCTAAGCGTCCAGTTGAGAACAACTTCTCTTTCTTAACTGACCAATCCACTGGCATTGTCACCTTGGAGGGCTGGGAGGCAGTTAAATCTTGGTGGTTCCTGGTTCTGCAAAGGGGCTACTAGTCAGCCATTGGGCATTTTGGACTGCTTAGCTGGGGAGAAGGAAAGAGGAGAAAAGAAAAGCTTTTAGGGCCTGGTAAATGCATGTTTGTTGGGTTGAGTACACAGGCAAGTCAGAGCCTATTAATTTCCAAATCAACCACTGGGATATGACGGCAAACTAAGCTTATAGTCACAGCAGCAGAAGAGGGCCCTCTAATTTACGGAAACCATCCTCTGTGATGAGCTCCAGATCCCCTGGACAACCTGCGAAAACTCTGAGGCTGCAATGATGGTGACAGACTCATTTAAACAAAAAGAAAAGCAATTAAGCAAACGGACTTGACTGAGAAGTAGGAATTCTCTGGCGAGCTGCTTCAGCATGAACTCTGTCACACAGCCTACCTCCTAAGTAGACCTAAGGAAAAACAACAGTAAACCATGCTTGATGACACAGGCCTGGGCCAAAGTGGGGGCCATGCTGTACTCAAGGAAGAAACATTCCATTACAAGCAACAGTTTTTTAAGCAAATCTAAAAGCAGATAAGCACATCTCCTGTGTGATGGGGATGCTACTTTCTACCCATAAAATGAAACCTCTGGCCGTAGCTGAAGGTATAATTTTAGAGCTCTCAGAGATGTTGAACAATGGCTTATACAAGAGTAGAAAAGGATGGTCAAAAATATTGTTTCTGGCTTACCAGAGATTTTAGAAAACTCAATAAAACTCAATAAAAGATTATTTCAGACTTTCTTGTAGGTAGCAAAGTGAACATTCCCTGAACACAGTACCCTTTGCTTCCCCACAAAACCCAAAAAGCAAACAGCGCCTGCCCATATATTTTATCATTAGTTTTCAAACGCTTTATTATCTACTGGTATAAAGATTCAAGGAAACAATATTTCCTTTTCTAACTTTTTCAGCCTAGCTAACAGCAAAGAAGAATCTAAAGTGGCATTTTTATGAGGTCCTTTTCTAAGAGAGTTGATACCATGGTTAAGTGGTCTGGTTACTAGGATTAAATTTGTGGTTGGAAAAGTACTCCATTCTAAAAAAAGTGAATTCAACATGAACCAACATAAATGTGCAACTCTGAGGGTGTCTGGGAGCCACGGCTCCATCCAAATCCTAAGGAAGGACAAGAACCACTGCCCATGGTTAAGTCCCTAAGAGGATTAAAAGCCTATTTACTGTCACTTGGTTGATAAAGATGCTGCTCATCAGTCCCATCCTAAAAGCAATAAACAATCGCCCGATTTTATACTCTCCCAGGTAAAGACTTGTAAACAGAAAGAACTAGTAACGAACGTTTTTCTTAAAAGAAAGTTAAATTCCAGTAACACCTGCTATTGTAATACATTCCATATTTAAGGCAGGCCATACGTGGGGGGGGTGTGTGCATGTCAGAGACGGTCAATGATCTACTAACTGAAAGCCGTAATTGACAGAATGCCCATTTTGTAAAATTAAAACAACAACAAAAAACCCCACTGTTTTTAGATCTTAGAAATAAAGATTCCAATTAATGAACTCATGACCAAGACAAATATTATGAGACGTAAGAGGAGATATATATAGGGAAAGAACATACATATGTAGAGTTAAATGTTTTACCATTTCTGATTATCAAAAGGCTAAGTATATTTTTAAACCACACAGTGAGTATAATGACAAGTTTAGGAAAGACCACCATAAATACCATGTTCAAAAACCAATTGCTCCATGAGAGGCGATGGACTCTGAGAAACAAACTGAGGGTTCTAGAGGGGAGGGGGTGGGGGGATGAGTGAGCCTGGTGATGGGTATTAAAGAGGGCACGTACTGCATGGAGCACTGGGTGTTATGCACAAACAACGAATCATGGAACACTTCATCTAAAACTAGTGATGTAATGTATGGTGATTAACATAACATAACAAAAAAAAACCCACACAAAAAACCAATTGCTAGTTTATTAAAAATGACACACAAAGAATTCCAGAACCAGAGTACATGTTTCACAGCTATTGCTTTGTTTTCTTACCTTGGATGTTGTACAGTCGGACCCTATGGGTAACATGTTCCAAAAAGCAAGTCACGTCTGAGTAAAACCTTCCACGTTGCACTCTGACAAAGGGCAGTGTTGTGTAAACATAAGGCTGAGGAGGAAATGACATTTTTAAGAAAAAATTTCAGCTTTTAACTTTTCCAAGGGATGTTTATTATCATTTCCCAAATGGCAAATACATACCACCTGATATTTGCAATCTCAGGTGAAAACAAAACCTTACAAGGTATCAGAACAGGCGCATGCTATAAAAATGGAGTATAAGGTTTTTCATTAGACAAAAAGTGCTGAAAATAGAAAATAAAAATGTTTACAACTTGACTGGCCTAGGTGATCTACAAACATTCCCTCCCAGCTATAAAAATTTCTAATTAAAACCCTTCTATATTGTCCATGTGCTATTTATTAGAAATACCATTCATTCTACAGCAGTGACATTTTCCCAGGCAAACGTTTATTATAACCGTGGCCCCCTAATGTTCAGGGGTCGGGCAGGTGGCAAGGATGACCACAGGGAGTCATCTAAGCAAACAGAAAGCAGGATTCAGAGAATTGCTTAATCACAGTTAGGTTTACTAGTCTATAAAACACACTGCCCTTTTACTAGAAAGAACTGAATATAAAGCAAATTTACAAACTTGAAAAAACTATGGCAACCACTGGTTTAAGGTTCGTCATTTCGAATCTAGTTGTCAAGAAAAATCAGGAACAGAACATACTTCTGTGACATAGGAACACATTGAAAGCATTTATGAAGAATTATATTTTCTCTTTTTTTTTGAAGGAATTATATTTTCTTAAGCATTACAGGCTGCAGAAGCTCAACAATGGCATGACGAGCTAGGCTTGCATTGCGAACTACTTAAGTAGCATCAGATTTTCAGAACTGTGAAATTTTCTTCCAAATGTACCTCTCTGGTTCTAGAAAAAATATTCTGAAATTAATATAATGCATTAAGAGTTTACAAAGTTCTTGGACCTAATTTTACCATATAGCTAAAAAGTAAGGGAAGAACATGAAAGCTGGCATGGGGATTTCTGGGCTCCTACCTGTTTCTGATGCACCCACCTGCCTCCCTGATAGTCTTTTATTTTCTCTTTGTAAATATATGATAATTCTCTTGGTTTTTTAATTTAATATTAGAGCTATTTAAAGATAGAATAATTTTAAATAAATTAGTCACAATTGCCCATGCATAATATTCCAGAAGTATTGTTATTTTTCATTTTTTCTTTGGTATAAGAACAGTCAATCAAAACCAAATTCCTGGGGTGCCTGGGTGACTCAGTCGGTTAAGTGTCTGCCTTTGGCTGGGGTTATGATCCCAGGTTCCTGGAATCAAGCCCCACGTCGGTCTCCCTGCTGAGCAGGGAGCCTGCTTCTCCGTCTCCCTCTGCTGCTCCCCTTGCTTGTGCCCTCTCTCTGACTCTCTCTCTCAAATAAATAAATAAAAATCTTAAAAAAAAAAAAAAACAACCCAAAACCCAAATTCTTGTCCAAGTGAGAACAGACTGATACAGCTTATACTTAGGATCCACTACCCTTCCTAGAACGGCTACTATGAGCTGTAGTTTACCTTTAATTCCTCACTGATTAAAAAAAAAAATCGAAACAACAAAAAACTAGACTCCTTAGAACGGTCAATGCTATTCTTTAAAATCTATTATTTGGGGCGCCTGGGTGGCTCAGTCATTAAGCGTCTGCCTTCAGCTCAGGTCATGGTCCCGGGGTGCTGGGATCGAGCCCCGCATCGGGCTCCCTGCTCAGCGAGAAGCCTGCTTCTCCCTCTCCCACCCCTGCTGCTTGTGTTCCTTCTCTCTCTGTGTCTCTCTCTGTCAAATAAATAAATAAAATCTTTAAAAAAATAAAATAAAATAAAATCTATTATTTGATTTCGGTTAACAGGTTTTTCGAAATTGAAGAACAACAGTAACTTCTGCAGGAGACAGGTTTCTAGGCAACAAAATATGGAGAATATTTAACTTATCTTGAAGTAGAGAAAACCTATATAAGTAGAAAAGCAAAGGAAGATGTTCTAAAGAAAAAAATACAGAACTGACTACACAAAAATTAAAAAAAAATACTATAACAGCATAACATAATTAAATTAAATGACACACTGATGGAACATTTTGCAGTATATAGGAAAAAGGATTAATTTTTACCATATATAAAGAATGCTTATAGATCCGTAAGTCATACCAGTAGAAAAATGGTCAAAGAACTTATATATGAAACTCACAAAAGATATAGGAGAGAGAAATAAATGTATGAAGTTTAGCTTCCCTAATAATCACAAAAACTTAACAGTAAAATATTTTTCACCCATTATTATAGGTAAAGCTTTTGATATGACTGATTCTCAGTGCTTGGAGTGGTATATTAGAGAGCTACTCTCAAAAATGCTGGTGGGAGCGAATATTTATGCAGTCACTTTACAGGACAGAGAAATAGTATGTATCAAGTCTTTTTTTTTTTTTTAAAGGTTTTATTTATTTGACAGAGAGAAACACAGCTAGAGAGGGAACACAAGCAGGGGGAATGGGAGAGGGAGAAGCAGGCTCCCCGCAGAGCAGGGAGCCTGATGCGGGGCTCCATCCCAGGACCCTGGGACCAGGACCTGAGCCGAAGGCAGATGCTTAACAACTGAGCCACCCAGGCGCCCCAGTATGTATCAAGTCTTTTTTTTTTTAAAGATTTTATTTATTTATTTGAGAGAGAGAGAATGAAAGACAGAGAGCAGGAGAGGGAGGAGGGTCAGAGGGAGAAGCAGACTCCCCGCCGAGCAGGGAGCCCGATGCGGGACTCGATCCCGGAACTCCAGGATCATGACCTGAGTCGAAGGCAGACGCTTAACCATCTGAGCCACCCAGGCGCCCCTGTATCAAGTCTTAAAGGCCTCATCCACTGACACAAAATAACTCTTCTAGAAAGTTATTCTCAGGAAATAATCATCACTGCATAAAAAGAATGCTACAAAGAAAGCTTATCACAATGTTACAGTAGTGAAGTATTGGGAGAAAATCTACATATGCAACAATAGGAAATTCTTTTTTTTTTTTTTACATATATATACATTTTTGTGTGTGTGAAAACATTTAAGTTCTACTCTCTCAGCATATCATATAATATGGTGTTATCAACTACAGTCACCATGTTAGACATTGGACCCTCAGACCTTTAATCACAACAGTATATATTAAAAATGTGTTTTCGAAGAATATACCATTTGATTGTGAGCACTGTCACAACAGTGAAAATGGGGGAGAAAGGGATATGCATAGTAAGACAATAAAAAATACATCAAAATGTTGGCAGTGGTTTGCATGGCCTTTGGAATAGTTGGTAAATTTTATTGTTTTCTTCAGTTTTCTGCATTTTCAAAAATGTGCCAAAATTTGTATATATTATTACACCTTTACAGTCAAGGGGAGGGAAAATTTTTTTTGTTTTTTAAAGTGCTGAAAGTTAAGGAGAAAAATGGCCCACTGGACAATTTATTTTTCTCCTATGGCTAGATAATTTGTCTCTGTATATGTGCTGTGCCACACAGAACACCACAACAGCACCTGAACCCTCCAACAAATCTGGCTTCTTTCCATGGAGAGCAACTGTTCATTGTAGCACCTTAATGAATTCCAACCCTGAAAAATTATTTGTTTACCTAACACTCACGACTACCGATTGCCAAGTGTCAATAAGGAAATATAATAGTGGAACCAACTCATCTATACCTAACAGATGACAAAATAATGAGATGAACTTATTTTTTTCTTCATTACTCTTTCAATAAATGCTTATTCACAGCTCAGTTCATTGGCACTTACCTTGGCTTCCCCATCAGGTAAGAAGAGGTAGGCACCACTTTTGTCCTTTTTACTGGTGGTTCCATACCATGAAAATTGCACTTTTACTTCATGATGTTTACTGTCTTCTTTACTTATCATTTCCTAAGGATAAAAACAATGTTTAAAAGCAACTTACTATATTAAGATTTTAATGATGTTGCATCTGGTTCCATGTATATGTTGATTAAAAAAAAAAACACCAAAAAACCTCAAGACAGACAGAAAAATGCCAACATTCAGCCTCTAATGTTCACGATTCTTGGATGAACACCCAAAATCTTATATTTAAAAGTATACTTTTATAGCTAATACTTAGAATTTAAAACTTTCACAATAGAAACAAAAAGAACACACTTCATTAAGGAAGAAAGAGATACACAAATTAAGAGATGTGGACCAGTGCTTCTCAAACTTTCTGTACTGAAGAAGCAGGTTTATTTTTTTATTTCCAGTATGCATGGACCAATATTTTTGTGAAGTACAATAAGAGTGAATTACTAGAAAAATTAAATTTAAAGTGATATACCAAATATACACTCAAATTTTTTATTATTAGATTCAGTAGGCATAAATTTATTGTGTCATTGTGCTTTCAGAGTTTCCACAAACATTTTTCTCAACCATTACAGCTTCTATACTTATCTTGTGGACCAGTAACAGTTCACGGAGCAGCACCACCCACAGACCACCCTTGTTAGGAGCAAGTGGTCACAGTGGACCACATATATCAGATACATATAGCTCATCCATCCTTTCTCCCAGAGTATTTGCATCGACTTTCCCCCCTCTGCATAAATAATCTGCACATATTATAATAAAAGTGATAAGCCTTCCATGAATTTGGAAACTATTCAGAACATACCTCCAAAAGCCCAGACTGATCAAACCGAAGTTTAACAAAGGAGTTCTCTAGAGTTATATCTTCTTCAGTACTTTTTACATTCTTCATGTTGAAAATTCCTTTATCTTTTACGTTACCATTATGCAGCACATACTCAGCTAAATGTGGGTCTGAACTTGCTGATTCCAAAATTTTATACACTTTCAGTCCGAGTGGTGGCATCTGCACTAGGAAGGAGATCTTTAAAAGACAGAGGAGAGAATTTTTTTAAAGAGAAATGCAATCTACTGAAAGAAAAGGATTTATACATCTAGTAAGAACAACAACAAAAAAACTACCGTATTTTAAAAAGAATTTAATACTCTAAAGATGTTTTGAGAATTTATGGGTAGAGTATCCACATTTCCGTTTATCCAGGGAATCTAATAACTTCAGGTTGGTAGGACTATCAAAGGCATGAATGCTTTCATTCAATATATGAAATTATACGAGCAACCTCAATTGTCCTCTGGTGCTCTTAATGGATGCTCAGAGGAGAAAATGCTTCATGAAGGTAGGAGCTTTAGGTGAACAACAATTTTTCCTAATTATCAGGACCCTTTTTATACTATGGTTTCAAGTACATTAAAAATAAAAGTGGTAAATGTAATACTATAAATATTAGGCAGGCTAACAGTGGCCATCGAATGCCTGGGGTCCAGCAGACAATGCACAAAGCACAGAGGATGCACACACACTGTAAGTCGTGACCTCTGCCTTCTAGGAGCTATTCCTCCCTTTTCTAGATAGGCTGTTTCCTGTAACATCTGACCAAAACTTCTATTATCTTCTCCTTTCTAACTAAAGGATTATGAATTTATGAAAGCAGCCAGCAATGGCTTTTAACAAGCAAAGTAATTCTCATTTAGAGTTCCTAGCTTTTGGCTGCGTCTTCAGAAGTACAGTTTAATTTGCACTCGAGACTCCAAGAATTCAACTTTTCTAGTGATGTGGGGGTCCAGTTTAATATTACTTTAAGAAATTTTCTCCAAAAATGTCTATTACTTCAGGCCAGGCTTTCCACAGTTGTATCTCAGGTAAAAAGCACCTTCCTCTATTTTAGGAAGTCCTTCTTTTATGGTGTGTCACGTCACCTTTGCAATGAAACGCTGAAAGGACCTAAGTTATTTAGAAAAGGTGTTATTCATCTCAACTTCAGTGTGCATAATTGTTACTGAATTGAGTTAAACAAAGAATTTCAAAATTTTTTAGGTAATGATGACTTCATTACTTCAGGAAAAAGTTCCAATACTTACAAAGATATACAATATACATGCTAATAACATACTAATAATAACATGTGATATACACACTAAAGAAGATATTAGTATTCTAGGAAACACAGGATCTCTTTTCCTTTAGTGTCATTTAACTGGTCAGTTAAATCCCCTGGTATCCACAACTTTAACCACTTCACATACACCAATGTGATGACTCAAAGGGAGCAGGGATACATATATAAACTACATACTGGCTATGCTTTTTTAATGGTGACTCTTTAAGTTCTATGGCGAAAACGTACCTCATAGGCTGTCTGTGAAATAGTAGTTGCTGTATTCCAAACTGCACTCATCTGAATTTCCACAGGCTTTCTGGAAGCAGAAGACACTTGTGCTGTGGGGGAACTCACATAGACTGAGACCACTGAGATTCGGTCTTGTTCTGAAGGATTACAGACCACAAGATACCTGCAAAAACGGCTGCTTCACTACTCGGGTCTTAAAACAGTATTTCTACTTCTTTTACACTATGTGTAAAGACTCAGCTTGTAGACATAGAGTCAACACACGGAGAGGACTTATAAGGAACACATTCTGGTAAAATTTTTGGAGAACACGCAATTTCATCACAAATAACACACACTACAAAGGGTAATGAAATAATGATTCACTTTCTAAGAATAAAATGTTATACAAATGGAAGACATTAATAGAACTATAATAAAGTTATTTCCATGGCCCAGAAAATGACCTATATAACACATGGTTTTATTAGCCTTTCTAAAATAATCAGCTTGATCCAACTAATCTCCTGATCCCTGCCTAAGCTCGCTGAGTAAGAAAACACATACATTGCCTATTTGTACTTTAGCCACAATTAATTTCAATTAAAATCCTGACATTCATTTTAGACCACTAAAAGACAACAAAAATGTATGGCTATCCATGCAGAATCACACATTTATTTTATATACATGGGGTCCTTATTCCCCAAGAGAGTTGGTTCTGGAAAAAAGATCATTTCAAGTAGCTCCACTTAAAAAGGGTGTTAAAATTTTATACAAATAGTGCTAAAAAAGATTTGACTGGGCCTAGCTAGAAAAAGGACAACACACACTATTAAAATAAGTTTAGACAATTATTTAAAACTACATGCAATTCTTAGAATGAGCAAAAAAATGAATGAACTGGAGTTTCTGGCAGACTTTTTCCAACAATATTTTATATTAGCACATTATGACACCTTCACGCATTTAATTTTTATAGGATGGTTTTAAACATAACTACATTTGTAAACAATATTCAAGGACTTCATCATTTTTCCTAAAGTCCTCTTCTTAATTTCTTTGATATTCAAAGAATTCTTAGTTGGAGATCCTCACTGTTTCATGGCTTTGCCTGTGAGCAGAAATGTTCTAGACCATCATATCACAGACTTCATGAAACAGAGTCTTTGAAAGATTTATGATTTTACTTTATGATCAATTCGAATCAGATTATCTTCAAATAAATCAAAAGATATTTCAAAGAGGATGTTTGAATAATATAACTCACTGATTCATTAGTGAATATTTTCTTGATTGAAATATTTTGGTTTCCTATACAATTTTGTAACTGCAGGACCACAGAACTGAATAGTCAAATAGCAACCCCATCTCCCCCTGACCCATAGCAGCTACATCAAAGATGGCAGACACCAGCTAGTATTGTGTATTTAGTGCATTAGAAAGCGTAGTCATGCTCTTTTATTCTACGTGTGTTCTGTGTATTTCAATTGCATCGCAAATCGCATAAGAAGTAAAACTAATACTTGCAGTGGTCAAAACTAAAGTGAAGGACAACAGGAAAACACAAAAGAAAAGAGCGAGCATGTAGCATAAAATCTATAAAATGTTTGACTTATAAAGGGTTTATCGGGAGAAGCTCTTATGATAGAAATGGTATTCTGAGATACCAAAAGCGACAACACAGCAATAAAAATGTCTCTAATTCCTAATGGCTTATAGTATGCATCAGGATCACACAACCTAGCTTACACCACTTATGTTCACCGAGATTCCATAGATGTGCGAAAGAAGAGTGGCTGAAGCTGTGTAGTCAAAAACGTATTTACAAAGGACACTGAAGTCTTGACATACTGGGTAAAACCCTATTTTATCCACAGAAGCAATTCTAAAGAATAGTGAGGGCAATGCTAACAGACTTACCTGAAGGATCTGCCAACCTATTGGTGCCCTCCTACTGCCCTCTACCAGAGCTTACGTGTCACCTGACTTGTCCCATCACAAACACACCTGGAGAATCACAACTGCCAGGATTCATTGTTACCAGCAAGACAATACTATATTCCTAATGTGCAACGTGGAGAAGAAAAACAGTTGAGGATCACCTATCCTCAGCACCAAAGATGTTTAAGCCAGCATCCCAGAAATGAGTGATTTACTGCTTAACCCCATGTTCCCAGAGGCTTAGAGATAATATGGTCTGAAGACTCGGGCCAGTATCCTGATTCTGCAGAAGCCCTGAGGCACATCCAGGTACTGAGCCTAGAATTCCTACTGGCAGGTTTGTTGGATGCTCTACTACACAGGTCTAGTCATAAGGGCTCTGATAATAAAATGTAACATGTGCCCAACCAATAAATTAGGTAATAAGCATCCAGAACACAGATTCCTTCCCGTGTCCCATAGGGGAAAAAGATTCACATTTAAAGCAAATAATAATTTTAACCATACATTTAGTTTTATATAATATTAAATCACTTTTTATAATAAGCTGTGAACTAGGTTCTGTTTTGTTTCATTTTAGTAGCTAATTAGTATGAGTCCTAATTAGTATGTGACTCTGACACACACATTAGTATGTGATCCCGACTTTTTCAGGATCGGGATACCTTCACTAAAATCCTTTTCCTTGTTCCTCTTGTAGTGCATGCTTTATTAATCTGCATTTAGAAGGAAAAAAAAATCTGGTTCAGAAGAACAGAAGACTTTGAAATACGCCATATCACTTCAGTCTATGCTGTGAACTGCTTTGAGTTAATTAGCTCTGTCTCAGCAATTTCAGAAGACATGATGGACACGGGGAGGAAAGAAGAGAGAGAACAGAGGACTGAGTGTGCAAGAAACCAGAAAACAAAACAAAACAGAACAGCTAAGGACTCTCATTTAATCATCACTTCCCCCCTGCCCAACCCTAATACAAATCACTTTTTAAAATGACTCGTAGTCCAGATATTTACTTTCTCTCTTTCGTGGTGCATTACACAGTTCCAACTAACGGGGGGAAAACCTCTGGCATTACAGCAATAACAGAAGAGGATCATTTAAGATTTGCATTACCTGGCAGATACAGCAAAACTAACGTCAGCTTTTCTTTGCCACTATCTCATCTCCTTTCCCAAGTTTTTCTTAAGTTCTACCAAGTTATGCATTTCCAAATATCATAACTGGAAATGATTATAATCCTTCCCAGATTACAGTTGGTAGTCCCCATGCTAACTCTGCCTTCACAGTGTAACAAAATATCTCATCATAATCCAACACACAGAGGGCACACATTTTTCCTCTCCATCTTCTGCACTCTCCCAATTATGATCCTTGATGAGGTAATTGCAAGATGTTGGAAGCAACAAACAAAATCGCTTTGATTTCATTAGACAAACCACACAACTAAAACACCTTGTATAAACTTAATTCACTGTATAATAATCTGACAACAAACTAGAACCACACAGCTAGTTAAGAAAGTTTGATTTAAAGTATAGACAATAAAAAGGCAATTAAAACACAGACTAACCAGGCAATTTAGCAGGTGTTCACTGAACACATAACTACTTTGCCATTGCTTTTCAAGAAATAAAACTTAAAACTATCATTTTAAATGCAGTCTGTTCAGCCACTTCCACAGATAAAATCTAAAGCTAATAAAATCTAAAATAATTTTGTACCTAGGAACAAAATCACAGTAGACTAATTATAAGGGCCTGGGAAGGAAGATTCTTTTCAAGTTCACATAAAATTGATGAAAAGAATGATTTAAGATATCATGCCCTGAAAGCACTAAGGAGACAAACTCTGACCACGTTGTAAATCTTTCAGAAATCAGTATGTGAGAATGATGGTCGCCTACTGATAAATATTTTCTTCAAACTTCTAGGTGACAGTAAAAATGTATATATAATAAATACAGTTATATTATTTAAAGCTGCCTATCATAAACTTTAAACTGCCTAACACAAAACCATAAAAAGTATTTTTTCAGGAGGTGCAAGAAAGGAATAAGAATTTCTTTTTTAATTCTGATAACGAGGAAGCCTAATGAATATTCAAGAAGCTAGATCACTAGTAGACAAGCAGAATCAAGGAAAGGACTCTTATAAAGAAGAAAAGTTAGCACTTAAATACCTCTGTGCTTCGGGAATGTGGTACAGAGGGTGAAAAGTCAGCACCAGTTGACTTGCAAAAATTTCTTGAAAGACAGACATTTTTCAGTTTTTGGAAGGGATGGGAAGCTGGACAAAGAGGAAAAGTTGAGGCACTTAAGCATGATGCTAGTAACAATCCAATGCAAGTCAGAAGAGTTATGGTGCTTTCTCCTGTACTGTGCCTTTATTAGGGAATTTGCTAATTACTTTAAACTAATTATTTCATAATTCTTCCAAACCTTTATTATATAGCTCTACAGTCTCTATCTGCAAAATCTGAAAAATTCTGAAAATCAGGTTTTTTCAAAACTCATTTGGTGGCAAAACCTAAACTGAACTGACATGAAGCCACATAAAATTATTTATTCCACTTGATCTTTTAATATTCAGAAATTTTAAATTATTTAATGAGCCCTGTCCCAGACTGAAATATTTATGTAATAATATGCCATATATGCATATTATGTTCCTAGAAAATAAAAATTCTGAATTCACAAAAGATTTCAGGTAAAGGATTGAGGATTTTATTTAAAGGTAGGCTATACAAGCAGTCCAAGGCATAGACTTCTTATAGAAGACACCCTATCTGTGGTTCTGAACAAGAAAGAAAAAGAAAAAAACAAAAAACAAACAAACAAAAAAAAACACAAGAAATGAAAGGGGAAGGAGAACATGAACATATCCCAGCACAGTGCGACAAAGGCAGGAACACAAAATAAATCTGTCACTGAATGGCTGACTATCTGAACCAAGGAATAAGTATCTTTTAACATGACCCTAAATAGGTCACTAAGAAACAGTAAACATTTAAGAATATTTTCTTTATATATGAATACCCCAAATCCCAACAGGACATATATGCTTTTACTTTATCTCTATCCCAATTCTTAATTTTACAATATCTAATTATGTTTTGGTTTTAGAATAAATGGAAAATCTGTTTCTTTAATAATTGTGTTAGATATGATTTTACTACCTAACTGGTAGGAGAGTCTTGAGAACAGGATTTTAAGAAGCTTCTAGCATCCAGGACTGATTTATT